TTACAAATATACTGTATGTCTTTAAAAATACAAATCTACATTTTTGGAAAGCATTTACAAATATATGTAAAAATATATGTTAAAATGTCTTTTTTATATGTAAAAAAAAAAATCTGAAGAATATATTTAAAAAAAAAATATTTTTAAAAATATATCTATTTTTCAATATATTCTTCAGGTTTTTTTAACATATAAAAGAGTCATTTTAACATATATTTTTACATATATTTGTAAATGCATTCCAAAAATGTAGATTTGTATTTTTAAAGACATACAGTATATTTGAAATGTATTTTTAAAAATGTTTTTCATATAGTAAAAATGCATTTCTACATACAGTATATATATATGTGTGTGTGTGTGTATATATATATGTGTGTATATATATGTATATATATATATATAATTTTTTTTTTTTTCAATAGTGATGAGCAGGAACCCCCATAACTGTCAGGAGGACAGGAACAGAACTAGCAGATCTCACCAGTGGAAATGCTCAAAAATTCACTGGGAGCCAGCAGAAGATTTATCCAAAGAGCCTCCACCTTAACCTGAAATATCAATGCGGGGGAAGTAAACCCTTTAAATACGCCCCATAACAGCACACAGTCCCCCCCCCCCCCCACCCCATCGCACCTACCTGCTGTAAATAGGCCACAAATTTGCACATGAAGTCTCCGAACACCCAGCTGGGCAGCGGGTAGAGGGTGGCGGTGAAAGGGACGCAACACACCAAGAACATGATGTCGGTGGAGGCCAGGTTAGCTGCAGAGACAGACACAGAGGGTCACAATGGAGGACATTGTTCTGATCTCATGGAGAGTTCGGTCCAGAACATTGCTGCTGTACCATTACAGGTCACTAGGGGGAAGCACAGACTCACAATCACAATGATCCCTGGCCCAGCCTTCGCTGGATATATGACTTTGATTATTGGAAGAGTTCTACTCCAATCACCATCCTATAGGATTTAGGCCAGAGCTCGAAATCCTGCACACATACCCCATATGTGAAGTACAATCCCCCCCACCCCCCTATATTACTCCATCATGCAACAGGTGGTATTTAATCGCCACTTTTTTTTTTTCTTTTTTTTAGGATATAAAAAAACAAAAACAAAAAAAACAAAAAACAGTTTCCCTTCCTTTCTGTTATAAAACATATCAAATGATACAACAGTGTAAACACAACCCAAAATGACCCCCTTTTTGGAAGGTGGGCACCCCCAAGGTGAACGTATTGTTACCCCAATCTTCTGGAAATGACGCCACATGCCGGCATTCAGCTGGTTAGAGCCAAATTTAGCCGTTTAAGGCACACGTATCGCTTAAAAGTCGCCCACTGAGGCCAAGTGCAAGTCGTCTGATGTTAGCCGATTGGCGTTTGTTCGCAGCGCAATCCCATTGGCTTTAATGGGCAGGTTTTTGGCAAGCAGCGCCACCTGCAAAGTGCACCACAGCCACAGCAATGAGAGTGGACCTGATTGTCGCGGATGGGACAAGGGGTGGGCAGGAGGGACAGCTGCCCTGGGCGCTATGGTATCGGGGGGGGGGGGTTGGAGGGGCAGCTGCCCTGGGTGCTGTGGTATCGGGGGGGGGGGGGTTGGAGGGGCAGCAGCTGCCCTGGGCACTGTGGTATCGGGGGGAGGGGGGGGGGGGGGTTGGAGGGGCAGCTGCCCTGGGCGCTGTGGTATTGGGGGGGGGAGGGTTGGATGGGCAGCAGCTGCCCTGGGCGCTGGTATCAGGGGGAGGGGGGTTGGAGGGGTAATTTTTTTTCTTGGCAAGCAGCGCTGTGGTATCAATTTGTGGTGGGGGGGGAGGGTTTATGGGTGATCTTTTTTTTTTTTCTGGCAAGCAGCACCACCTGCAATGTGCAAGCACCACAGCCACAGCAATGAGAATGGACCCAATTGTCAGGACTGGGACAAGGGGTGGGCAGGAGGGGCGGCTGCCCTAGGCGCTGTGATATCGGAGGGGGGTTGGAGGGGTGATTTTTTTGGCAAGCAGCACCACCTGCAAAGTGCAAGCACCACAGCAACAGCAACGAGAGCAGACCTGATTGTCAGGGCCGGGACATGGTGAGGGCAGGAGGGGATGCTGCCCTGGGCACTGTGGTATCAGGTGGGGGGGGGGGGGAGGGGTGATTTTTATTTTTTTGGCAAGCAGCACCACCTGCAAAGTGCAAGCACCACAGCCGCAGCACTGAGAGCGGACCTGATTGGCAGGGCCGAGACAAGGGTGGGGGAGGAGGAGGGTGGCCATGGGCGCTGTGGTATAAGGTGGGGGGGGGGGTAGAGGGGGTGATTTTTTTTTTTTTTTTTTTTTTGGCAAGCAGCACCACCTGCAAAGTGCAAGCACCACAGCAACAGCAATGAGAGCGGACCTGATTGGTAGGGCCGGGACAAGGGGTGGGCAGGAGGGCGCTGTGGTACCAGATGGTGGGGGGGGGGGGGGGGGGTTGGAAGGGTGATTCTTTTTTGGGGGGGGCATTTGTGCTGCGGAGACAAGGATTTGTACTGGAGGGGGTAAGCATGTAGAATAGTGCTCTATTTCTTTGGGCGGGGGAGTTTGCTGGCACATAATGCATATACATCTTGGGGGGGGGGGGTTCATTTTGGTATGTTCCCCCTGGGCTCTAGATGACCTTGTCCCGGCACTGCTGATTGGTCGACCTGCTGATTTGTAGGTAGGCGGTGAGCGGTAAAATTTGTGGATTAACCGCCTGTTGTCAGACCCGCCTTTATTCACCAAACAACTGGAATTGCTTTATAAACAAGTCATTATCACGCCGCACGCCATTGATGACATCACCATCCTTCCGCGAGATGCGCCACTCTTTACCCTGACAACCCCTGACAACCGCGACATTGCCACCACTTATACCGGAGCCATAAAGGGAGATTACGCGTTAATGGGAGCCGCTCTCAGCCTCCTCGCTGTCACTTCGCTCCGAAGAAACAGATGGAGCAATTTTTGCATGTTAAGCTCCTATTCCCAATACACGACGTCGGAATCATCGCAAAGGGTCCCGGGGACGCGCGCCGAAACCTCGTTAACCCGCTGTTGCGCGGAAATGAGCGAAATCGTCAAAAATGCTTTGGGAGGGAAAACAGATCTTTAACGCCTTAAATGCCGTTATTTGCAGGGGGAGGGGCGGCGATGTCACTTCACGGGGGGAGAGGGTGGAAAAACATCGGTGGCGAAAACACATCAGGTGCCGTATTACTGCTCTGGAAAATGGGAGGGGGGGGGGTGGATTGGCGGCTATTCCTGATTTCGATGCAGCTTTTCATGCATTGCTGCTGAGCTTGTTCATCAGCGACGCGCACGGGACGCGGAATCTGGGGGCAGCTGGACAGATGGAGGCTGCAAGGTGATCAGCGTTATGACGTCTCTGCTCTGGAATTCTCAGCGCCCTGTGCTGCTGTTAAAGGAACTCTCCAATCCAAACTGAGAATGAGACATGGAGATGAACACAGGGGGGCATGGGAAGTTTCCCCCAGGGATGATTGACTGGTATAACATGACCGGATCTAGGGGGGTACTGGGGTGGTGCCCCCCAGATTTTAGTTGTGCCCCCCAAAGCAAACCTTAGCCTGCCACTATATTGCCATAAACTGCCACTAAAACTGCCACTATTCTACCATAACCTGCCACTATACCACCCTAAACCTGCCACTATACCACGCCTACCCTAACCTGCCACATACCCCTAAACCTGCCACTGTACCGCCCTAAACCTGCCACTGTACTGCCCTAACCTGTCACTATTGCCCTAACCTGCCACTATACTACCTAACCTGTCACTGTACTACCCTAACCTGCCACTATACGCACCCTAACCTGCCACTATACCCACCCACTAACCTGCCACTATACCGCCCTAACCTGCCACTATACCCACCCTAACCTGCCACTATACTACCCTAACCTGTCACTATATACCGCCCTAACCTGCCACTATACTGCCCTAACCTGTCCACTATACCACCCTAACCTGCCACTATACTACCCTAACCTGCCACTATACTACCCTAACCTGCCACTTTATACCCCCTAACCTGCCACTATACCGCCCTAAACCTGCCACTATACCGCCCTAACCTGCCACTATACCACCCTAACCTGCCACTATACCGCCCTAACCTGCCACTATACCGCCCTAACCTGTCACTATACTACCCTAGTAACCTGCACTATACTACCCTAAACCTGCCACTATACCGCCCTAACCTGCCACTATACCTACCCTAACCTGCCACTATACTGCCCTAACCTGCCACTATACTACCCTAACCCTGCCACTATACTGCCCTAACCTGCCACTATACTACCCTAACCTGCCACTATACTGCTCTAACCTGCCACTATACTACCCTAACCTGCCACTATACTGCCCTAACCTGGCACTATACCCCCTAAACCTACCACTATACTGCCCCAACCTGCGACTATAACACTACCCTAACTGCACTATACTACCCTAACCTGCCACTATACTGCGATAACCTGCCACTATACTACCCTAACCTGCCACCTATACTGCGATAACCTGCCCTACACCCCTGCCACTATACTGCCCTAACCTGCCACTATACCGCCCTAACCTGGCACTATACCACCCTAACCTACCACTATAACCCGCCCCAACCTGCCACTATACTGCTCCAACCTGCCACTATACCGCCCTAACCTACCACTATACTACCTAACCTGCCACTATACTGCCCTAACCTACCACTATACTGCCCTAACCTGCCACTATACTACCCTAACCTACCACTATACAACCCTAACCTGCCACTATACTACCCCCTAACCTACCACTATACTGCCCTAACCTGCCACTATACTGCCCTAATCAGATACTTTACCACCCTAGTTTGCCTCTATTCTGCCCCAGCCTGACAAACACACTGATCTCAGTTATGTGTTGTGTGGGGAGGAGCAGCTCTGCTGCCTGTGCCTGAGCTATGTGCAGTACAGGGATGGGAGAAGGAGCTGTGTCCCTGTCCTCTGCCCCCTGCAGTCCCTGTCCTCTGCCCCGCCAGCAGTGACCCCTGTCCTCTGCCCTGCCAGCAGTGACCTCTGTCCTCTGCCCTGCCAGCAGTGACCTCTGTCCTCTGCCCTGCCAGCAGTGACCCCTGTCCTCTGCCCTGACAGCAGTGACCCCTGTCCTCTACCCCCCTGTCTCTACAGTAGCAGTGACCCCTGTCCTCTGTCCTGACAGCAGTGACCCCTGTCCTCTGTCCTGACAGCAGTGACCCCTGTCCTCTGTCCTGACAGCAGTGACCCCCGTCCTCTGTCCTGACAGCAGTGACCCCCGTTCTCTGCCCTGCCAGCAGTGACTTCTGTCCTCTACCCCATCTAGCAGTGATTCCTGTCCTCTGCCCCGCCAGCAGTGACCCCTGTCCTCTGCCCCGCCAGCAGTGACCCTTGTCCTCTGCCCTGCTGACGTCCCATCCTCTGCCCCCCTGACATTTTTTTTTTTACTGCACTTTTCACATTGAACAGGCTAGGTCCGGCCCTTTGGTATAACAGGGCATGGAGTGGTATGGGTGCCTGTAGGAGATCCGGTTCTAATATCTTGGGAGCAGATACAGAGCCGTTGCAGGCCAACCGGCATCTGGATCTGTAATCAGACGGGCAGAGATCAGCAAACAACTGGCAGGGGGCAAGATACTGGAATCTTGTAGTAAGACGGGCAGAGGTCAGCAAACAACTGGCAGCGGGAAGATACTGAATCTGTAGTCAGACGACAGAGGTCAGCAAACAACTGGCAGGGGGGAAGATACTGGATCTGTAGTCAGACGGGCAGAGGTCAGCAAACAACTGGCAGGGGGGAAGATACTGGATCTGTAGTCAGACGGGCAGAGGTCAGCAAACAACTGGCAGGGGGGAAGATACTGGATCTGTAGTCAGACGGGCAGAGGTCAGCAAACAACCGGCAGGGGGGAAGATACTGGATCTGTAGTCAGACGGGCAGAGGTCAGCAAACAACAGACAGGGGGGAAGATACTGGATCTGTAGTCAGACGGGTAGAGAGGTCAGCAAACAACTGGCAGGGGGGAAGATACTGGATCTGTAGTCAGACGGGCAGAGGTCAGCAAACAACTGGCAGGGGGGAAGATACTGGATCTGTAGTCAGACGGGCAGAGGTCAGCAAACAACAGACAGGGGGGAAGATACTGGATCTGTAGTCAGACGGGCAGAGGTCAGCAAACAACCGGCAGGGGTAAGATACTGGATCTGTAGTCAGACGGGCAGAGGGATCTTGTCAGCAAACAGCAAACACCGGCAGGGGGGAAGATACTGGATCTGTAGTCAGACGGGCAGAGGTCAGCAAACAACCGGCAGGGGGAAGATAACCGGCAGGGGGTATACTGGATCTGTAGTCAGACAGGGCAGAGGTCAGCAAACAACTGGCAGGGGGGAAGATACTGGATCTGTAGTCAGACGGGCAGAGGTCAGCAAACAACCGGCAGGGGGGAAGATACTGGATCTGTAGTCAGACGGGCAGAGGTCAGCAAACAACCGGCAGGGGGAGTTGAAAGCCAAGAGCCAGGAGCAGAGTCTGAGCCAGGCCAGGGTCAACATCAAGCGAGCAGAAGATGTACCGGCACCACAGGCAGGAAGCAAGGTTGGGTCACAAGCCAGGATCAGCAACAGAGGCTCAGGAACACGCAGGAAGAATAAGCCGGGTCAGGATGAGCGCAGAGTCAGGTCACAAGGAGAAGGAGCTGACAACCAATCAGCAATGAACCTGAGTCCTGTAAGGCTTTAAATAGGCCTCTAGGCGCCACAAGTCCATCAAACAAGCATGCTCATGCGCATGCGTATAGATGCGTGCAGAGTCCTCATGCTGTGCACAGTTCTCTGGACTGTATTTTTTTGGACATTCCTTTGAGCATGACTTTCCTGACACCAGGCATCGCTGCAATGTACCAATTCCCTCCTGTAATCTGGGAACCCCAGCAGCAGAGATATTCCCAAACACACCCACCGCGGGTGCCTGTGCATCTCACATACAGCAGATTCCTTGAAGCCACCAATCAGATTGAGCCTGTCGAGGCAGTTAAATTCTGGTTGGTGATGAGTAAAGCAGAGACAGCACAGCCTTCTGGAAGTACACTCCCAGCAACCCTGTGAGGTGCTCCTGAAATCTGGCTGCAATGGATTGCACTGAACTCACACTGGGGTGACCCGAGGACACTTTCTGACTTTAGCACAGTAGCAGAGTTTACTGGTGATTCCTAACAACGATCTTTTCTTTAAATAAGATGTCCGCTCAGCACCTTTTCGTTTCCTATATGGCAAGATTAGGCGAGAGCTTGAAGTCCCGATTTCCTGGCGTTGTATGTCAGCCTTATTTTGGTTTGTTACAATACAGGATTTCCTCGATTCGGTGAAAGGTAACATCGGTGTTCTTATTCTGGCCAATGGAAGGTTAGGTTGGGGAGACGACGATCGCTGTTGGGTTGAGAATTCAGGTAGGGTTTGCGGTTAGGCTGAGAGTTAGTGGTAAGGACAGTTATGATTCGGGATATCTGGTGTTTGGGGCGGGGCAGATAATTGTACCCTTGCTTTACATTTATAGATCTGATTATTGATCTGCCCAATATTATATGTCCTATAAATGTTACATATCAGTGGCTAAAAATGTACAACTTCACCAGAACATGCAAAGAATTCACTTCTATTTCTGTCCTGGTGAAAAAAAATCAACATTTTGGGTCCCCCCCCCCCCCACTTACACTTTGCAAGGTCACCGGAACTGAAACGATATTTTAAACAAGGTCTAAATAAAGAAATATATAAAGATCTATATAGAGGGATCGGGACCTCCTTCCTCCTGCCGGTGACCCCTCTAGTGATAGGATCTATATAGAGGAATCAGGACCTCCTTCCTCCTGCCGGTGACCCCTCTAGTGATATAAAGATCTATATAGAGGAATCGGGACCTCCTACCTCCTGCCGGTGACCCCCCTAGTGACATAAAGATCTATATAGAGGAATCAGGACCTCCTTCCTCCTGCCGGTGACCCCTCTAGTGATATAAAGATCTATATAGAGGGATCAGGACCTCCTTCCTCCTGCCGGTGACCCCTCTAGTGATAGGATCTATATAGAGGAATCAGGACCTCCTTCCTCCTGCCGGTGACCCCTCTAGTGATATAAAGATTATATATAGAGGAATCGGGACCTCCTACCTCCTGCCGGTGACCCCCCTAGTGACATAAAGATCTATATAGAGGAATCAGGACCTCCTTCCTCCTGCCGGTGACCCCTCTAGTGACATAAAGATCTATATAGAGGAATCAGGACCTCCTTCCTCCTGCCGGTGACCCCTCTAGTGATATAAAGATCTATATAGAGGGATCGGGACCTCTTTCCTCCCGCCAGAGACCCCTCTAGTGATATAAAGAATCGGGACCTCCTTCCTTCTGCCGGTGACCCCTCCAGTGATATAAAGATCTATATAGAGGAATCGGGACCTCCCTCTCCTGCCGGTGACCCCTCTAGTGATATAAAGATCTATATGGAATAATCAGGACCTCCTTCCTCCTGCCGGTGATCCCTCTAGTGATATAAAGATCTATATAGAGGGATCCCCTCTAGATGGATCGGGACCTCCTTCCTCCTGCCGGTGACCCCTCTAGTAATAGAAAGATCTATATAGAGGAATCGGGACCTCCTTCCTCCTGCCAGTGACCCCTCTATTGATATAAAGATCTATATAGAAGAATCAGGACCTCCTTTCTCCTGCCGGTGACCCCTCTATTGATATAAAGATCTATATAGAAGAATCAGGACTCCTTCCTCCTGCCGGTGACCCCTCTAGTGATATAAAGATCTATATAGAGGAATCAGGACCTCCTTCCTCCTGCCGGTGACCCCTCTAGTGATAGGATCTATATAGAGGAATCGGGACCTCCTTCCTCCCACCGGTGATCCCTCTAGTGATATAAAGATCTATATAGAGGGATCAGGACCTCCTTCCTCCTGCCGGTGACCCCTCTAGTGATCTATATAGAGGAATCAGGACCTCCTTCCTCCTGCCGGTGACCCCTCTAGTGATATAAAGATCTATATAGAGGAATCGGGACCTCCTTCCTCCTGCCGGTGACCCCTCTAGTGATAGGATCTATATAGAGGAATCGGGACCTCCTTCCTCCTGCTGGTGACCCCTCTAGTGATATAAAAATCTATATAGAGGGGATCAGGACCTCCTTCCTCCTGCCGGTGACCCCTCTAGTGATCTATATAGAAGAATCGGGACCTCCTTCCTCCTGCCGGTGACCCCTCTAGTGATATAAAGATCTATATAGAGGAATCAGGACCTCCTTCCTCCTGCCGGTGACCCCTCTAGTGATAGGATCTATATAGAGGGATCAGGACCTCCTTCCTCCTGCCGGTGACCCTCTAGTGATATAAAGATCTATATAGAGGAATCAGGACCTCCTTCCTCCTGCCGGTGACCCCTCTAGTGATATAAAGATCTATATAGAAGAATTGGGACCTCCTTCCTCCTGCCGGTGACCCCACTAGTGATATAAAGATCTGTATAGAAGAAGCAGGACCTCCTTCCTCCTGCCGGTGACCCCTCTAGTGATATAAAATCTATATGGAGGAATCGGGACCTCCTTCCTCCTGCCGGTGACCCCTCTAGTGATATAAAAATCTATATAGAGGAATCAGGACCTCCTTCCTCCTGCTGGTGACCCCTCTAGTGATATAAAATCTATATGGAGGAATCGGGACCTCCTTCCTCCTGCTGGTGACCCCTCTAGTGATACACCCCACAGTTCTATTTTCTTCTGCCAAGCCACACTGTTTGCTCGTTTTGCAATCATCCGACATGAGCACCGTATCATCATCTTCTGTAGTTCTGGCTAATGCTGCACCCCATTGTGCCCTACGAGAAGTTTCTATTTCACTAAGTGCACCAATCTACATTTAGAAACACAGAACTGCAATTCCCACCGCTTTGACCAATTTTCTAGCAATGCTGAATTATGGTCCATAATTTCGCTTTTATACTCTTCGATAAAGCACTTCAATCAGTATGAAATGTGCTTAGAACCTGTATTCCTGGTGCCGGCGATCAATAAAGAAGTTTTCCCGCGTTCCAGTTGTGCGGGAAATCTTTTGCGATGAATCTCCTTAATGCATCTGACAGGTCGAGGTGAGGAAACTCTATCGTTTCGGCGGTTGTTTCATTATTTACTTGGCATAGCAGGAAAGTTTCTCGGTGCGGCTGAAACTCTAAGATGATAGAACTTAAATCTGTTTTCTGTAGAGTCTCCTCGGATTCCATCTCCCCGCCGCCGCCGCATGT